TTGCTCAGTCCCACCTCTCAAGCCTGTCGAGGTCCCTCTGGACAGCACATCCCTTCCCTCCAGTGTGTGACTGCACCACACAGCTTGGTGTCATCAGCGAACTTGCTGAGGGTGCACTCTGTCCCAATGTCCATGTCACCAAAATAAATGTTAAACAGCATCGGTCCCAACATCGACCCCTGAGGAACAGCACTCGTCACTGCCCTTCACTGGGACATTGAGCTGGTGACCACAACTCTTGAAGTGTGACCATCCAGCCAATTCCTTATCCACCGAGTGGTACATCCATCAAATCCACGACTCTCCAATTTAGAGCAAGGATGTCGTGAGGGACAGTGTCAAATGCTTTGTACAAGTCCAGGTAGATGACATCAGTTGCTCAATCATAGGAAGGAAGGATGGCTGGGCTCACTCACAGATGGCTCAGGCCATCTGTGCCTCTCAGGGCAAGGTCTTGCACACATTGGAGGCTGTGTCTGGCACAGCCATGACACACGTCAGCACTTGGGATCAAGCTCAGGAACCTACAGGATGAAGGTAGCTCTACGTGGCTGGAAAACAGCATCCCTGTCAAGGCATCCAGCTGTTTCTGCTCAGCCACACCAAGCAAGGGCTTCACTCCCATGACAGGTGATTACACAGCATGGATGAAAGGTTGGGCAACGGTTGGATTTATGGATCCAAGTGCAGACTACTCACACAGCCAATGTCCCCCTGCCAGAGTTCTGGGATCTCTTCACTAGCTCTGCAAGACTTGGGAGAAAGCAAATTAATCTGCCCTGCTCCCGTTCCTCTCCTCCACAAATTGGTGTTGCCAAGAAGATGGTGCTAATAGCAACCCTCCTGTCATTCAAGGAAAAGTACTACCAATACTTACAAATGCTGTCCTGCCTATACCCTGAAATAATGATACTGTCCCTGATTTCTCTATGTCAGCCCAACACACCATCCCCGAGCACTTACTGACAGTTTGTTTTTAGTTTGACTAAAGCAGCATGGATTAGACAGTTTTTGCTGTCCATTACAGACTGTATTTACCAGGAAGGTTCAAGTCCAGCTGGGGAGCAGGAGGGGATGCACTTCCAGGGATGGGTTCCCAGTCACAGGCCACCAAACACCCAGCTTGGTGGAGAACCTAGGAGCAGAACTCCCAGGTGCAAAACTCCAACAAACGTGGGAGCTTCGCTGCGCTCACTGGCCTGCCCCCAGCTGCCCCAAGCAGCCTCCGAGGCAGCCAGCTCCACCCCGCCGGTACCTGCCATGCTGGTTGTGCTTCGGTGTCAGAGCTGGCAGGGGTGATGCTGGCAAGCGCCATTGCACATGCTTAGCTCTAAGACTAAAAGAAAGCCATGGGGCCAACGTGGCTCATAGCTTCAATCAGTGTGTAAACAAAAGTACTCTCTGCCCGGCATAAATCATATTTTCCATACGCAAAGGGGATGGGGGGACTCACTTGCACAAGATCTATATGGAAAACTTTTCAGGGCAGACAAGCCAGAAAGTGGAAGGAGGAGGGAGTCTACATACTCGCCCTAGGGATTTCCGTGGGTTAGCTGAAGGGCAGGGACAGGTCTATGTGACTCATCACACTTTTCTGAGACATGCCACTGGCCTGATGCAACCCCTGCTCCAGCAGAAATAAAGCACAATGGGCCATCGCTGGTACCAGGGAGAAACATGGGAGTTGCAAGAGCTGCTATTAAAAAAAAAATCCCTTTACAACCTGCGAACCGAAGACATTACCCATGAGCTGCTAGTAAAGGAGAATCCCCTTCCACCCACCACTTTGGGTGCTTTGTGTGTAGCAGAAAATATCTGCTGGTACCACCAGATGGACAGGATACCCAGGCTTCTGCTTTCAGATATGGTTCTGTGAACAGCCTTCAAAGGCAAAATCACCAACAAGAAAGAAAACAACTGCAAAAAGTAGCCCCAAATTTTTCCAGTCCTGAGTCTGCAGTGCATTTGCTGCTTACTCGCTTCTTGCTAAGTCTAGAGCTGCCAGGTCAGGCCCCCGCCTGCCCCTCTGGCACAACTACTCCTTACAGCTTGGAAGCTATTTTTTCCCACCCTGCTGCCAAAAAAAAAAAAAAAAAAAAAAAAAAAAAAAAAAAAAAATTGGTGTGAAAGCTTTTATCATTCTGAAAACAAGCCAACTGCGAAGGCGACTCTGTGTCTCAGACGCCTGTTTCCTGGCAGATTTTAAGTCCTTTGCTCAACTGCTAGGATGGCGGGGGCAGGAGATGCCTGCAGTAGCAGGCTGTGAACTGTAGTTTCAAACACTCACATGTTTAACTGCTGCTAAATACCCAGGAGACCAACATTTTCAAACAGCGGGCTAAGAGCTACACACACAGCCAAGTGGTGGTGTTGGCCCATTTGTGGTAAAGTAGAGGTGTGAATGTGCTGCACGGTGATGCTGGGTGTGGAATGAAGGGCTACCAGCACCACTACAGGTACCAGGCAGCACTGAGCATGTCACCTGGCTCAACACCTCCATGGGGTCAGTCACCTCTTTGCTTCCCAGGTAATAAGGCTTCAGCTCTATTGGCTCCAGGTGGCTTGGAGGCAAAGGACAGACCCAGCAAGCAGGCTGAGCATGGCAGCAATGCTGGATGGCTGCCCTGTTGGTGTCCAAATTTCCAGTGACCCACTCTGGCCATAACCACAGCTGGCAACCTAAAGGCACATACAGGCGGAGAGATGGGGACAGTCCCTGCCTCAATGCCACCCTGGTTGAGCTACACAAACCACAGAGCCCCTCACCCTGGTGATGCTTTTTGGAGCTCCAAGGTGCTCAGAGTTGGTTTTGCACGCAGCAACCCAGGATGGTGTTTTATAAACTGGCCCGTGGCTTCTCTTCAGCTATTGCACCAATTTGTGATGGTGCAGAGCAAGACATCACTGCCGCTGCAAAGGGAAGCATGAGGGCACTGCTCAGCTACCGCATGACCCAGCTACAAGGAGGCCAGGGCTCTCCTCGTGTGTCACGTGCTATCTAAAAACCACAAGATGGAAAGAAAGCTGCAAAGCTCTTGTAAAGTACAGGAGACAAGCAATAGGAGTCCTCCAACATGCCATTCAAGCTGCCATCTGTGTCTCCTGCCCTCCAGATACACTACTCCTTTCCCCTGAGTGCCTTGTTCACTAACAAGAGGAGCAACCTTCATCCTCCTTTGTAGGGGATGTCTTCGCCTTCTTCATCTCTCGCCTTCCCTCCATTTAAGCACAAGGATGGTGCCTTTCTCAGGAGGCAGCTATCTACGAGATGGAGTAAAGGGGTGAACAGTAGGCTTACAGGGAAAACTGCCCCAAAAACCTTAGCTTGGTCCAAGTCTTGGTTGCATCTTGGGCTGTTGGGAGCTGCAGAGCAGCTGCAGGCCAAGGGCAGGAGGTGCTGTTAGTGCACAGCCCCATCCCAGGCTCAGGTCTGCAATGTGGTGCCCAGCCAGCAAAACACGAACAGGGGAAGCATGGCTGCAGCTGCGGTTGGTGTTCAGAGATCAAAACACAACATGGCCCAAAAAAAACACAGGATCACAGAATGATCTCAGTTGGAAAAGCCCTTGAAGCTCCTCCAGTCCAACCATGAACCTCACACTGACCGTTCCCAACTCCACCAGATCCCTCAGCGCTGGGTCAACCCGACTCTTCAAGCCCTCCAGGGATGGGGACTCCCCCCCTGCCCTGGGCAGCCCATTCCAACGCCCAACAACCCCTTCTGGAAAGAAATGCTTCCTAAGAGCCAGTCTGACCCTGCCCTGGTGCAACTTAAGGCCATTCCTTCTTGTCCTATCACTTGTTACGTCGTTCAAGAGACTCATCCCCAGCTCTCTGCATCCTCCAAACACAGTCAGATACTGGTAAGAGAGTAAGCAGGAACCAGACAGGAGGTGGGGAGGTATTTTGAGCTGTTTGACCCCACCACAGTCCTCTGCCTTCCAGTCCTGTAGGGAATTACAGCATGCAGACAAACAGCACAGCAGTGTTTCCCTCCCAGCACTGGTGCAGGAGCCATCAGGGAGAGGAGGGCCCTGCCAGCCCTCTGCCAGCCCAGGAGCAACAGGGTGGAGGATGGGACATAGACAGCGTCTCTCTGCAGCCTCTGCCAGCAGGACTTTCCTGCCAGGCCTTGGGGGAGGAGGGGTGGCATGGTGACATTCCTCTAACAACAAGCAGCATCAGTGACAGCATCTGCACTGCCAGGGCTAAGAGGCAGGCATAAGAAAAACTGCCATTGTTCAACAGTACCAGCCTAGAAGGAAGAAAAAAAATTGCATTAATAGTGATGCAAGAGACAGGTATGATCAAGGTGCCTGCCACTCCCAGTGCAGCTGGTTTTAGGCACTAACTTGAGTAAGAGTCAGCTGCAGCTTCCATGATCTGTCTGTACATCAGAGTGAATTTCTTCCCTAAAAGTTTCAGATGCTCCTCACAGTTGACCCAAAATAGGCAGACTGCTTTCCCAAGGTTAAGAAGCATCAGAAAACTTTTTGTGCAGTTCAAAAGATAGCACTGACATACTGGGGTGTCAAACTGGGATTATCTCAAATAGGGAACAGCCCCTCCTTCAGTTGTCCCCAGGAAAATTTACTGGAGTTTTGTGAAAATTGGTATTCGGAAGAAGGAAAGGACTGCCCCTGCTGCAGTGGTTCCCAGACCCAAACATGTAAATGACTGGCTGAAGTTCACAGCCTGCAGCCAGGGCATGTTTTGGGATGCTTCCTAGCGGACAAGCCAGGTAGGGAACATGACACAAGCCAAAAGGGATAAGCATCACCCACAGAAAGCACACACTTCCAGGGAAGCAGGAAGGCAAGTCTATGCATTAGACGCGATCTGCAATGATTTCACACAGCTTCTGTTGCATGCTGCAGCAGCAGTCTAGTGGTTTACTGCACACATGGAAAAAACACATTCTTTTAGATCATTTTTTCAGTGATGGGAATAAGCTCATATTTCAATTAGTATTTACCAAAACAAGAGCCAGACAAACTCAGTACTGTGTGAAAGTGTTTATTCCAAAGCTAAATTTCTCACATAAAACAATGTCTCTGAACAGCAGCATCAGTCCTTACACAGATCTACAACAGCCTTCTGGGCTCCAGGGCTTGGGATCTTGAACCATCTCTACAGAGCGTAGGGAATCTCTTTTCAGAGTTGTCAGAAAGTGGAGGAAATGACAGAAACCAGATACGTTGCCACTGGCATAATTTAAGGAATTGTGCCTGCTCACAAGGAGAGAAAAGGTGTCAAGACACTTTGCAGGGAGCTTAATGTCTGCACAAAGATCTTGCAGCACACCCTGCTCTCTGCAGGCTGCTTGCCAAGGAGCAGCTGCCACTGTCAGGAGAGAACTGCATTATTCCTGCAGACGGAAAACAGGACTGTTGGATTTAATAATCTGCTGAACTGCTTCCAAGGACTGAAGTGGCTGAGAGGTCATGTTAGTGATGTGCTCCTTTGCAGCCCCGCACCCTCACACCAGCTCCAGTGTGCACATTCGGTCCCAGCTGACACCCTAGAGGGGGTTACTTTCTTCCTCCTGCCTCAGCCTCTTGGAGAGATGCTCGCTGATGGCCATAAGGGGGTTGGCTCTGAACCTGGGATCGGTGATGACCTCATGAAACTGAGCCACTTCCTTCTCTCTGAGGAAAGAAAACCAACACACAAATTCTAAGTGCCTCATGCAGAAGGAACTCAGGAGATAAGAACAGAACTCATAAAGCTGTGCATTCTCTACAGACAGAAATGATCCTGGGTGTAAACCTCAGAAAGAAACAGTGCAAGAAATAAACCTAATTTACCCAAGGGCAAAGCTCAAATTGCTGCCAGCTTCATGGGAGCCAGATTTGATCTCATGCCACAGAGACAGAAACAATCATGTTTGTGTTCAGCATCACTTGGAAATGTTTTTTTAGAATGTTTCCCTAGTAAATCAAGAACAAGAGACAGTGTATCTGGTAAATCACTAAGAAGGAAAACTACTTCAGGTTGCACTAGCACAAAAGCAGATTCTGCTTTCGAGAGCTCATCTACTGACTCTCTTTATTGCTCAGTGTAAAGGCTTGGTAATCCTACGTGCAACACTAGCTAGACACCATGGGAGGAGCACGACAGAATTACCTCTGCATGCTTGGACACAGATGGTTGCTGTGGAAATGGTCTTGTCTTAAAAAGCAAGCAAGCAAGCACAGAGGAAAAAGAACAGATCAGGAGCGTAAAAAAACCCAGTGAGTTTTCACATAAATCACATCCACTCCAGCCTCCCCATCTCCCTCAGACTGCCAGACTCTCCACAGCCCAGGCAGACACACATCTTCACATTCTCAGTAGTTACTCTGGATCAGCAGAGAGCACTTCAGCTTGCAGCACGCGGCTAGTTCCCCCGTCCCAGCACAGCCCCTTCCTTCAACGCCAGCCCTGCCCCTGACAGAGTAGCAGAGAGAGAAGACAAACCTGAAGCTTGGGTTGTGGCAGTTGGGGCAATAAGGTGAGGCTTAGGGAACCTCCAGTCCCAACTAACATTCTGGAAAATGAACCTCAAGACCTTTCTCCAAACTTTTTCCCTCCCAAGAAATAGACTTCCCAGGCCGGTATGGTAAGATACATGTCACTACTCAGTGCACCTCTGTCCAGTTTTGTGCAGAGAAGAGGGGGGCACACGGGATCATCAGCTTGCTGATACAGAGGACTGTAGTGGAGCTGCCTATTTGGACTTAGATCTGTATACAAGTGCCTCCTCAAGCAGTGTTCCTCACCCATGAGTTCCAGCACAATGAGACACTCGTGGCGCCCCAGGCTGTGACCTGTGGGCTTCTGCAATAAGCCAAGGAGGGACTCATCCAGAAAAGCAGAACTGATCAAAAAAGGCATTCTAGCATTGACACTGGCCAGTTTCAGACAGGGAAAGGTATTCAGAGTGTTCTGGAGAGCAGTGCTGGGATCTGCAGACTGACTGCTCTCAGCCTCAGTTTGAAGTTAAATGGCTCAGAACTGACAGAAATCCTGGAAATGGGGATCACAGAAAGGAAACATTGCCAGATCACAGTGCCTAGCTCCAGAAGAGCTGTGTTGAGGGAAAATGCAGTTCTTGATGCCTGGCGGCAGTATAAAATATCCAATAGAGAGAATAAAGAGTTGCCAGACCGAGTCCAGGAATTACTCAAAAGCATTTAGTGCTTCATTTTATAACTAAAGGTTTGGCAGATGCCAATGGACAGCTGTCCTCGTAAGGGACATGTGGCATGTAAGTTAGCATCCCAGAGGTGTTTTAACAGAGCAGCTGTAGCTCCTGATATTATGCAGGGTTCCTGCAACTGCAGGAGGCTTTCCTGAATGGTATCAGCTAGACCTACGCGGGCCTGGTGTCATAAGAAACTCATCCAGAGCTTGATGTTGCAGCTCCAACTCAGCAAGCTGAGACAAGGGATGCACCGCCTGGTTGATGAAAGATCGTCCAGGGCCGCAGAGGGACACAGTGCAGACATACTCACTTGGTAGACCCAGAAATTACAACTATGGCCAGGAAGAACAAGATGACAGTTCGTGTGGCTTTGTCCTGAAACCCCACAGACCATACACAGGAGGCCCAAGCCATCACTTTCTTTGCAATGAGACAGGGAAAGTGAACTCTTAAAGGAGAAAGTGCTGTTCCTGTGCTCTCTTCGCTCAGACTTTACAAGAGACAGAAGCGGAAGCAGACTGAATCCATTTAGAACTGACCGAGTCTCACAGAGACCAAGACAGAAGGACCACAAACATCCTGCACCTGTGTAAAGGGGCAATCAAAGCTGTCACCTCTTCTAGGTGGGCAAGACTGAAACACCGACCAGGAACTGGTTGCCTGGAGAGGTTGTGTGGTCTCCATTCCTGGAGATATTCAAAAGCTGTGTGGACACGGTCCTGGGCAAACAGTTCTAGGTGACCCTGCCTGAGCAGAGGGCTTGGACCAGCTGGTCTCCAGGTCTTTTCCAGTCTCAACCACTCTTGTGATGCTCACGAGAGACTGGACACTGGATAACTGGGTACTTACAAGAGTCGGCGTTTCTGAGCTTGTTTCATCAGACAGAAGTCTGTTGGTTCTGCCTTTGCTTTTACATGGCTGTGGAGAGAAGAAACAAAACAGGTGACTGAGTTTGTAGAGGAGTGTTAATTTAGCAATTGCCGTGAAGATGGAAAGAGTCCACGGATTCTGTATCTGCCTTCCGAGAAATTATAGGTAATTGTCCTGTACGGAAATTGTCCTGAAAGGTAATTATTTCCATAGCCAGACAGAATTCTGCCACAGACTGACAACAGCTTAGGAGTCAGGTCTGAATGGGTAAGAGGCAAATGCACTAAAGAAAAATCAGATCACTTAGTTCTAGAACTGGTCATTAGCTGTCCATGGCCAGATCACTTTCTGCTTATCACTAACCTCCAGGTCAAACCGATACTGTTGCTCAGAGAAAAGATCCCACTGAACTTCCCCTCACCACCGGGCATGCGACACCTCTGCACATCTCATGTTCCTTGCTAATGCTGCAGCGTTCCAGCATCAGCAGACATCAGTTACAAACAGTGCCAACAAGTTACTCAGCAAGAAGAGGGAACTGCTAGCCCTGCTTCACATCCTGCAGCGGGACCCCTGGGGCAGAAGGTGTCACTTATATTTTAAGATAAAGAATGGCAATATTCCTTTTTCCTTGTGGACACATGTCTTTGTCAAATGCTTGCCAGTTTAAGGCAGATGCAAACAGATTAGCTAAAGAGAAAGCACAACAACAGAGCTTCAACTTTCACCACCACACACAGGTTTTGAGAACCCATGAAGCTGCAAGAAGATGGACTCAGGGGAACTACATGCAGCTGAGGCACAGTGGCAAGCATAGATCTTCACTCTGCACCCATTTCTTATTCCTGGGCAAAGTCCAGGGGGACCAGAGATGTAATCCCATCGTGCACAGGACGCTGGAAGAATGTGGTGCCTGATGCCAAGCAGCAGCAGAGATTTACCACAAAGCCAAACACTGAGCCCAAGCAAGGGACACAGAGGAAGAGCAGCGACTGCTTTTGGGACTTGAAGTGCACAAGGGCAATTGCTGGTAGAACTGGACTTTAAAGAAACGAGAAAAAACTTCCATTCTTCAGGATTACACAGATGCAGAAGTAAACAGGGGAAGCAAGTGGGGAAGAGGGTTTGCTTCTGCAGAGCAGCTCTCCTCTGATTCACCCTGTGGCTGAGCCCTCGCACACAGCCCAAGGGGGGAAGAGGGTCTGCCTCCCACCCCTCTGCTGGAGCAGGGCTCAAGGAAGAATCTTTCCTTACTGGTGGGTGCTGGGGACCAGGGCTTCCCCCACCTGATCTGACCCTTCAGCTTTCTCAAGGGTAGGAAACATGACAGTCCCTCACTTTCTCTTCAAGACAGCAGGATCTGGTCTCTTGTTGGCAGTGTTAGACTGATCTCCTTTTCCTATTTCCCTCTCTGCCTTGCTACCCTACATCCTTTTATTCTGCATTTTTTTTCCCATTCTTCCTTTCCTTCTCCTCCCTTGCCCCATATGCCTTCACCCCACTCACTTTCATCATTCTTCTCTACTTGATAAGCTCCTGCTCCTCTTCCTCATCAATCCCTCTGCCCATCCTGGCCCATTTTATTCTTCCTCAGGGGGGATCTTGGTGGACACAGGCTGCTGAGGGCTGCTCTCACCACTGCCCCAATCACGTATGATTTACCCTCTGCCCAGCACAGTGTGCCCCAGCATCAAAACTCGCTGCCAACCCAGACAAACCCAAACAGCGTGGATGTATGTCAACGAGCCTTTGCAGCACAGAGCCTGGCAGATCAATGCCTGAATGCTGGTCCTGTACCCCTCAAAGTCACCCTGGCACTGCTGCAATTACACAACAGGCTGGAGAGCTCAGGAAGAATGGCCATCAGAAAGAGCAAATAAACAGCTACAGGGGTTCGAGCAGCTCTTGTCACACCAATGCATCCAATGGTACTGCAGGACACAGAAAGAGCAGGAAGTGTCTCTGCTTGCTTTGTGTCTGTTAACTGCTTGGCACAGGAACAATTTCTTGTCCCAGTTTTCCTGGACCACTCACAGAAGCACAGAGGAATCCCTTCTCAAGTTAGATGGCAACCCACAGTCACCAGAGCAGGGGCTTGCCAAGCGTGCCCACCAAGTTGCCATGGCAGTCCCTTCAAAGATGAGTGGCTCTGCAGAGGGTGACGATGGCTAAAGGAAAGCATTTCTCCAGTACCTTCTGGGCCATATGAGACTAGGTGCTCCAGGGGCTGTGCCTCTCAGGGCAGCTTCCTCTGCAGCACACACCACAAGGGCATGGAGCTGCTTCAGGCTGTGCAAGCCCCCCTTTGCTTCCAGCCACACCACTATTTTATAGACCTTGGTGCTTCTGAAGGCTTTTTAGTTCTACTCAACAGCTCTGCCCCACCGGTCTGTCAGATTCAAAAGGCTGCTGCCTGGATTTCCCCCCCCCAACTCACCAGCATGCTACCTGCTCACTTGGACCATGTTAGTAGCCCTGTTTCATTACACTTCATTGCCTTCATTCATTATAAAACAGAATAAAAAACTCACTGTAATGCTCTCTTACCCAGCAGGAGATCAAATTCCTGGAGAATCTAATCTTTTATTAATAATGCTGACAAATCACTAGAGTATTACCCTTCATTTATGTAATGATTCAAATCCTATAAAAGCCTCCTCTGATTATTTCAAACACTTAAGCACACATCCTCATGAAGTCCAGGAAGCCACAGGCCAGCACTCCTCCATGACAGTACCAGAAGGGACTGCTTTTTGGTTGGCATGTCACAGGCAATCTGGGTGACATCAGTTGATGCCAAGCTCCCACCTCCACTGTGCCAACTGCAGATGGTACCAGCCAATCCTGAAATTCTCAGTCAGGGCTGGGCTTCTCTACCCTGCTGTGCCACAGCCCTACTGGGCTTTCTAGACACCAGAGCCTTGCAGCCGAAGTGAAAACAGAGCCAGATGATAAGCTCAGGCTTCCAGAAGGAGGGAAGGGCTGCCATGCTCCCCCAGGAGGTCTGGGTTTGGAGAGAGAGGGAGCTGACAGTGCTTCTCTGAGGATGTCAGGCTAGAGATTCATGCCAAGACCACCAAACACTTCCACGTGTGCCACACATTCTCTGCCATTGAGAGTACTGCAGAAGAGAAGAGCAATTACAGCAGCTGGAAGGACCATTTTGGGCCGTGTTCTGCCTTGAAGCAGCCGGCAGCAGATGGCCAGAGAGGGATAAGACCAAGACAAGCATATATAGCCACATCCTCTCCAGTATATGCAGCTCAGAGACCTTGTGCCAGCTGCAGTTTATATACATGCAGTAACCCTCCAAGGAGCTCTCCCCATTGGATTTGTTAGGTCTCACCTAGACCCACAGGCTTCCCTCAGCGATGACATCCTGCAGCGAGGAGCTGTGAAGAGCAGTGAGCCTCCTGCTTGCACTGAACTGCCTACTCGCTATCTATGTTTGATGTCCTTTATTTCTCATACTGGAAAAGAAGATGAACTACTTCCTAACCACATCACACTTGATTTTATAGCCTATTACATTCCCACGCCTCTTTGCCTCTATCTCCTGTCCAGGCTGAGGACTCCCCAGATCACTTCGTCACTTGTGCAGAAGCTGTGCCAGATCCTCCCCTGTCACCCTTGTCAGCCATCTCTGAGCCTATTCCAGCTCTACTCTATTTAAGCTGGTCCAGAATTGCAGGCTGCAGCGACACCATGCATTTGTACTAGACTATACAGCCACCCAGGAAAGCAATTCCCAGAGGAAGGACCCTACCTGTCCTCCCTCCAATACATGTATTTTCTGCAAGCTTCTCTCCTGGATAGCAGGACCTCAGCCACCAAGGATCCTGGGGCAAAATGATGAGGGGAATGAGTCCTGAACACAACCTGGAGTCAGATGCCACATGTGGTTGCAGCACATCATCACAGAAAGAGGGAAAAGCCATCTATTCAGACTCAGGCTAAGCCCTGGCCCAGAACTCCATCCAACCAACCCTTGGTGCTATGCAAGACTTGAAACTGCGTGTAATTTTGCTGTTCATTCCCACTGAAAGAGAGGGAAGGCTGACTGACTGATTGGCTGCATAAAGAAAAAAAGGAGAAAAAATGCTATTCTACGAATTAGAAGCCAAGTTAAGGAAGAAAATATTTTCCCATGCCTAGATGCAAGGTTCATAGCTGCTGTTTGTCTGAGGAATGGCTATTTGGAAGCACAGGGAACTACCAACTCAGCCATGCTCTGTAGATGGGTGTCCCACCTGGGTCAGAGTTTATTTCTGGGGCATCCAGCAAGTCACAAGAGGGTTTATGGTATCTACAGCCTTGATCTGCAACCAAAAAAGAGGGTGCTTTGCCAGACAGACACCTTCTTGGCTGTTCTCTAATCCAAATGCTTTCTTAGTATGGCCAAAACAAGCTTCTAGTTCCAACCTTTACTGAACAACTGGAGAGGAGTGACACTTAAGTGTTTGTGCAGCACGCAGAGCACTTTCATTCTGTACTGGGGAATGCAAAAGCAGCTGCGACACTGACCGGATGGTCAGACAGAGCACTGCATTAAAAAGGAAAAAACATAAGGGACCAGAACCCACCCTACGGCTGGCAAGGATGGTTGACACATGGGTGTCAGAGGATCAGAAATAGCCCTTCTATTTCAGGGAATGGAAACACCATCTTTCTGCTCTTGTCCAAAGTCACGTTCCAAGCCAACAGGGTGAACAAAGAGTTTGGCTGGAGCACAAAGCTCTGCTCAAAGGGCCTGAACTGCCTCAGGAGAAAGCCTGGAGGTCTGGAAGAACAGAATGGCAGGTTGCAACATAGCTCATGTGGGAAGGCAGTCAAAAATCCTAGCAGGCAGCACTGTGCTCTGGACGCTGGCTCTCCAGATCCACTCCCCTCTGTCACATCAGAGCTGTACGAATTTGGGCAAGCCACCATCCCAGTCTTTGCCACTTGCAATACAAGAATTTGTCCCCTTTGAATGCTGCAGATATAACCTGCTAGAAGAGAATGTATTTCTTTCATTGAGTCAAACATCCATTTGCTGATAGTTATGTTTAGGACAATTTTTATCATAAAAATCACACCTCAAGTGCAGATTGTCCACACTGTCCAAGTCAGCAGTGTCCACCTTGAACTCAAGTGAGCTCAGCAGCATTACACTCTGGACACTTGTCACTCCTGCAACTCCCAGGACATCTGGTTGATCTCCATCTGGCTGTCTCATGCCAAGCCTCATCTGAGCAATACAGCTCCCCTCTTAGCTGTGGATTCAGAAGACACATTTAAGCTTTTTTCTCGTGGTGATTGAAGCACAGAAAGGGGTGAAATGGAGCTGAGAATGAGGTCCAGTTCCCCTGACCATTGTTACTGAGCTTGCACTGCCTGTAACTACAAGTTGAGCTGCAAGGCACTTCCTTGTGCAGGAAGAAGGGAAAGACGCAGCCCATCCCTAAATGTCACGTACCTCTTGGGTGGCTTCCTGCCCCTGCCACCTGTGGTCAGGTCGGAGAGCTCAGGTAGGGCTTCCATCAATGGCTGCATGTCTCCCACCACAGGTGTTGCCTTACGCTTTGCTTCGGCTTTTTGTTTCTGCTTGGCTAGCTTCACGCTTTCTATTTCTGAATCAGAAACAAAATGTTACTGGAGGAAGGGGAAGCGTTTGTAAGAGAGAACCCCGGAGCTAAGAAATTCATAGGCTGCTTCACCATCTACAGGAACAACAGGCCAGAAGTGATTTAAACCAGGGAAAGACTGAAAATAATGCATCTAATGCATCTGGGTAGTTCCCTCCCTTGCTGTGTTTGCTTATAACTATATATGTCTCTACTGACATTTGCAATGGGAAGTGAAATCCCCAGACTGATTTTCTTTGAATTGTTTCCAGCCCTTGCACTGTTCATTGCTCAGAGCAGCATGGCACAGGAGTCCTGGGGTGGAAAAAACCACACTGACCTTGCATGGAATTAGGAGAGAGAAACAAGAGGGGAAGGGACAAACCAGGCAGCTCCACATGTGGCATTAAATAGTCACAGCCCTGTCTCTGCTTTGCTGTAGGGACAAAACAATGCTCTAGCACAGGCAGAAAAGATGGGACTTCATTTCAGTTGTTTACTTAGTTTGGAGGAAGCCAAGGTCTCACCTTCATGACTCATGGTGGAGCTCAAGCAGTCAGATGCTGGATAAAATGGCTTGTTAGAAAAGCACTGCACCAAGTGGCAGACACAGAGGCGGCTGGCTTTTCCTGGAGCCCATGTTTACCAGTGTCCCTGCAGCAGCTCTGAGCAAGGCTGTGGGCACATGAGGCTCTACAAATGTTAGGGCAGTCTCCCTTCTCAGCCGTGGGAGGTGGGCATTGAAAGCTGCAGGCTTCTGCCGCAGTCCTTGAGGCTCCCTGGTGTAGAAGTGGGTCCCACAGCTGCCCAAGCCTTACAGAGCCAGCAGCCCCCAGGGCGAGCCCCAGCAGAACATGTTCTCCTCCAAGATAGCCCACAAAAGCCCAGCACTGCTGCAAGTCTCCAGCCGAGCTCCAAGATGCCCCAACCTGTTCTACAAGTGCCTTGGTGATGCCACCACAGCTCACCAGGATCCATGAGCTCTTTCTCCTTCCATTAGGCGATCTCTGGGCCTGGAAACCCACTGTGTTGCCTTGATACCCATGCGGGGTACCAGTGCTGCAGGGTACCTGGTGAAGGACTCTACCTCCTCCATGTGCACCCAGTGAAGGCCATGGTGGAAGAGAAGGTTCTGCTTACTGCCTCAGACAATGAGCGTATTGCAAGGATGAGCCTTGGTGCTGAGCTAGGAACTCCTTGTCTGGACATAAAAGAGTGCAGTGCTGCCGTGGGGCCAAGATGGCGACACATGGAGGCCAACAGCTTCCAACACAGCACAGCCACAGAGCAGGACTAAATCGGTGCAAGTATTTTTGGTGGGAACACGAAAGCAGCCATTCCCACTCTACAGACCGTGGGCAAGATGCCACCAGCAATCCTGCACCTAACCCCACTGTCCACATTCAAGAAAGCAGAACTCAAATTCACTGGCTAGCCACTGGCTCCTTTAATATCTTCATCTTGTTCAATCCTCAACTCAGCTGAGTTGAAGAGCAACAGTTTTTCATGAACTGAAATCATGCTGTACATGGATGTTTGTGACAAATCTGGATTGTAAACGCTTCTCCTCACAGCAATCCCTGCCAAGAACACAGCTCTCTGTTCTGCATCACTTCTTTTTTTGGTCTGGCTTTATGAAGCTGACTACTTTCAGTGCTTTCATAAACAGTATGTGCTCAAAATTTTCAGACACCTGATTCTGCGCAAACATCCCAAATTCTTTTCCTATGAAGTCTTGTTTGTCTGAGAAGCCATGCAATATATGTATTTTCAAATGTGCATACTTCTAATGTCTGAAGCATTGCATAATTTTTTTCCCTCTCTAGTCTCTCCTGAGATGATTTATTGGAATGGAAGAAATCTCCAAGTTTTGCGTTTGCACTGCTAGGCTGAACTTTAGTTCCCAGGGTCTTGGCATCCAGTGTCACAAAAGCAGCCCTGGGATAGGAAGAAACAACAAACTCTTGGAAAGGTTTAGAAAAACAGAGATGTAATGATAACAACTTCATCACTCCAAGTTGGGTTCTCTTGAGAGAGAGAGTTGCCTCTCTCTTGAGGGGCAAAACACATGAAGACTTAGCGGAGTTATCTGCATCAGATAAAAATCAATGTGTTTCAGTTGACTGCAGCTCCTTAAGGTCACAATGTTAGAATGCTAAGTTTCATTTAAAAATCTCCATCTCTGGAAATACCAGTTCATCTTGCTCCATCAGCTAGTAATAATAATAAAATCAGTTTCTTTATTGATGTTTATATAGGCTCCTTCCAGCTAATCCATTTTTCCCAGTAACAAGCTGCACACCTGGTACTTGCTGACTTTTCCTACAGAAATCCCTGGGTACTTGCTATCCTTAGCAAGGCATTTGCTAGGGAATGCTGGTATTTGCCAACTGGCCACAAGTTTAGCAGGGGAGTCAAGTGAGCCAGCAGTTTAGACACTCCTGTATCCAGGTAAAGCACTTCTAATACTTAATATCTTCTAAGACAGATAATTTGGCCTGAAGTTTTCTGTCTTGGTGTTCTCCTCAAAGCAAAGCCTCTGCATTTCATTTGTATTCGCTCAGCTTAGTCATTTTAGAGCCAAGAGAGAAGGAAAGACGCCACGGCAGGGCCAAAATAACATATGTGATCTTGAGAAAGACTGATGCTACAAAGGCATATATGCAGGAGGGCAGGATTAAGGGTGTGTAGGGGTCCTGCTCCTGGGCTTTTCCAAAGCAGCTGACCTTGCCTATGGGAGCAGTGCTGTTACCTAACTGCAGGAGTGTGCAGAAGACACGAGACCCATGTATCCCTTTTACTGTGGATTCTGTGATAAAATGCTGCTGAGGACATGTGTTCCTCCATGGCACCTGGTACCAGTCCTGCTATCAGGGGAGGGAAAGCTCAGCTGTGCTCCAGCTGTGCTCCAGCAGTCCCCTCCCCTGTTCCCACAACAGTATCAGACAAGGAGAGACATTCAGAAGCACTGAAACTGCAGCCAGCAGGCCAGACGTTAAGACTAGCATAGCCATCTATGCTTTGTGCCCAGCAGGGACACCAAGGGTTGCAGATGTCAAAGGCACTTGGAAATTGTTGGTTGGTGATAGGGAGGAGGTTTCCTTCATGCTCACACCGTTAAATTATCAGTTTTTTATGTAAGAGAAGAGAGATACCCGCACTGCAACTGGTGAAATCACAGGTTTATGGACCTGAGCTCAGAAGCAGAGTGTTGCAAAGCATATGGTGTGGCAGAAAGCCACATCCCTCAGCCCTAAACACAGTCTGTCAGCAACTGTGTTGGGCAAGAAGGTGTTAAGGGAAAAGCCTGTCCCAAGAACGGCTCCAGGTGGCAAGAGGAATCCCTCTGCTACACCGGGTAGCACAGCATTGTCTCTCACTTGTGCTGAGATACTTGATGCAAAAATCCAGACACTTTCCACAGGAAACAGAAGCATTTCTGCCATGGGCTGGTTTTGTTTAGCTCAGATTTCACAACCTCAAGAAAAGCCAGCCTGTCTGGTAAGTGGGTTCACTGACCTGGGGCATGTGGGAAAGAGCAGTAACGAAAGCAGCAGCATCCAGAGAGCTTCCTCACTGAAGGGCAGGGAGGCCCACTGCAGGCTTTCACCACAGAGGCTTGGGATTAGCTGGTGGTTTGGTGGGTCTCAGCTCCAGGTTGTCCTACCATCCCCACAGCTCCTCAGAGAGGAGGAGCTCCACTATACAGCTAGTCATATCTGTACCAGAGCTTTAAAAGACAGAGAAACGTGCTAAGCCTATATAGGCAGTGTCCTATCTGGATAAATAAAGGTTTTATGTAGTCACTTACATACACGTGGAGGAGGATTAAAAGTAGGTTTGGGGAAATGACTCAATCTCGGTGCTGAACACTGCGAAACAATGCCTGGGACTTTTACCCCATGTGCTGAGGAGCAGATGTGGTTTCTGAGAAGCATTCAGCCTCCCCCGGCACTGACAATGCTGCCACCCCCACCCCGTGTACACAGAGATCCAATGGAGCCACGCCCTGTGATGCCCACGGAACTGCCGTTTCAGAGAAGTACTTACTCTGTAGCCACCTTTCTTTCCTCAGCTTCATTTTTTCTTTTTTGGAAAGAACCGTTTTTTCTTCTAAACCTAGAGGAAAAGAGAGACATGAGATGAAACCTGGCTCCTGCACACAGGTTCAGTGCTGGACACTGTTCCCAAAGACAGCAGAATCTGTAGTATTTTGTTCAACCCTTGATGCTTTTGAACTTGCTGATAGGTTGGGCAGGCTGCAAGCACATTGGGGGCTACACTGCACCTCAACTTTTAGCCAGACAAATCAAACCCGACACGATGTTGGTTAAGAAATAAGAAACGGGCAAGTAGATCAGATCATCAGCACTATAGGCCCTGTTTTCTCAGTCCAGGTAGCTCTTTGAGAAACGACCCTTGCCTCATGTCCTGCATGACCCCGGCTTGGAAGCTGGGATTTGCTTCTGATGACTAGCTGCAAATGATGGGAGGATCTACAGGTTCCAGAAGTGGGAGCAAACCCCAAGTTTTAATCTGAAAATATGCAGGCCAATAAAGCTAAGAAGAAAGAAAACACGGGCTGCACACATGTGCAAGGGTAGGAGGGAGAATGGCAACCTGACACGGCTATCAGCACCCACCTGCCCAACAGCCTCAACACCTGCCCAGACAGCACGTGGCAGGCAGGGAAGGACTGAAAAGGGTCTGAAATACCCAGACCCATGGCAGCCCTAAGGAACAGCCAATTACTAACAGCTTATAAAAAAAGGCTATATACCAAATTCAGTACTTGGAAACCAGCTGTCGATCACTGATATCCAATACCAAGTAAAGTAACGTCACAAATATTTTTACTGTGGATCCATTGCAGACACTGTAAAATTTTATCTTATCTCTGGTGTTTAAAGCAAAATTGACTTTAGTCATCTTTTCTCCTTAAGTGTGCTGAGAATCCTGCTACAGGAATGCCAATGGAGGAACAAGCTCCCCAAAGACCACTCCTCTCACCTTAGGTTATTCTTAAGTCTGGAAAAGAAAAAAATGCCCCTTTTCTCCCCAAAAGAAACAGGAAAAAGGAATTCAATGCAATTCTGAAAAGAACTCACTGTGGGCAACTTCTCTGAAGCTGGGACTCTTTCAGGATGACTTAAACAAAAGCAGGGTCATAATTTAGTAATTTCAATGCCTTAAGATGAGAACAAGCCTGCTGGGGCTGGTGGTGAGGGTTTCTATAAAGTCAACAACTGTCACCATATTCTGAGTTTTCAGAGGACACAGAGAACAAAGCTGTAGCTTTCACTGCCTCGTGACCTGGAAAAATATGTTATTGTAGTCAATACACCTAGGAAGCGAGAGATAAAACCACGCCTAGAAGCCATCACTTATTTACAAAGCTCAGGGATGTCTTGGAGAGTTTGTACGTGACTGATGCTGCTATCCATTTTTCCGTCTCCTGCATAAAGCACTGATGCCCAGTCACCCTGCTAGGCGGAGGCTGGCAGGACAACCCTGCTAGGGTGTGGGGCCAAGCAATAGCAGAGACAAACATCTAATAATATTAAGGGCAAATTTCCTTCATCCATTTGCTGTGGTATCAAAGCAGACGCTAAAACAAATAATTGTATGTTCCAGTAGCCAACTTCCAGCTATTCTCATCCCCAGTCACCCCACATTTCTGCAGTTCCAGGAAAAAAAAATAAGATGAATCATGAGAGGCCAAAACCCAAATCATGCCTTGATGCCCTGTGAAAGGCTGCCTGCACGAGACACCTCCGCCCTGCCTTTCTGGCCGCCCCAGCCTGCCTGGATTTCAGCATCAGCGGTACTGGGGAGATTTGCCCCCTTGCCTAAAAACCTGCTCATTGCTTCACTGGGAAAACAGAGCCCGGCAGGATTTGTTAATGAAAATTAAAAAAAAAAAAAATTTCAGCCAGCTGGCCAATTCTAGTAATAGCATCAATTCAGACTTTCCCCCCGCCCAAACAGCAGTGGAATATTTAAGGAAACACAAAAGCTGCTTTCTTGGCAGTAGCCCAACCTCGCTGCAGGCTGGGGCTGGCGGCCGGCACTCAAGCCGGCCGCTGCAGATCGCCAGAGGGGTGCAGGGAGGGGAGCCGGGTCCCTCCCTTCACCCATTGCAAGCAGCCGGCAAAGCGGCTGGTTTCTGCCCTTTTTCACAGCCTGCTCCCAGGACACCTCCATTTTATGTACCCCACCTACCCCCTCAGGAAGCTGCTTTGTAGCTGGAAGGTGCCAAGTTGTGTTTGGCAACTTCCAGTTGCGCTGTCGAGTGCCAAAGCCGCTGGAAATCCACTGGAGAATGGCAGAGGCAGAATTTAGCTAGTTAATTAATGACAAAGACTGTCCCCAAGGTAGTCTTTTATTTTTGTTTAGCTTGCAAGCACCTCCAAGATCAAAGGCATACCAGAGCTACAGTTTAATTATTTTTCTGTGAAATCAGAAGGGTTTTGGTCCCCCCTTTCAGCCCATTCCACATGTAATTTAACAACACTTGCCTTTGAAACCTTGTGCATGGAAGAAAGGTGAGCAAAACCCACTTACATTAGCTCAGGGCAGTTTACAGACTGTAAACTTAACAATTCTTCCTTTTAGTGAGGATGCGTTTTTTCTTCCCTCTGATCTGTGTAGTACAAAACATCTCAAATATAAACAGATTAAAAAAAAAAAAACAAACCAAAACCAGAAGCTTTTTGCCTCCTACATCAAGCATTTGATACTACTCCTGGCAATTCTCAGGATCCTGCTTTCAAGGCAAACAAGCAGATACTTTTTCAGTATGGCTTCCTTCATTTCCAAAGGGTTGAGTTTTTTGGGTAAAGGACTCCTTAGACTAAAGAAGGAATCAATATATATATATGTATATATATGTCTGCTTTTCATAAAGGACTCCTTAGACTAAAAATACATATATCCTACCTTAGAAGTCCCCACTTTATCCTTTCTAGGCATTCAAAAAAGAAGCTGGATTGGGTTAAAGCCACAACACTACAGGCTTCCCTGAGATTCCACTATTTAAATTTGACTCCACAACCGAGAGGGTGAAAACACAGGCTTCACAGTTCCAGGAAACCACATTACTTCAAGGACTTGGCCATGAGCAGCAATATCAAATAAACCTGTGCCTGTGCAGTGCCACACAAACAAAGGAGGGGCCTTCAGCACCAGGCATCTGCTCCCCACCATGCAAAGCTGTAGTGAAGCATTAAGTCCCCTCTCTGGTATGAACTATTAAGAAATAGCATGTATTATTAAGTATTATTCCCAGAACTCTGATGATACATAACAGTAAAGCTGTTGCTGCTCGAAACATAATATTTTGGCAAAACAGGGTACGGTATAAATTGAAGTTAAATAACAACAGATGTGTTAATTTTAGCCTCAGTTGTATAACTGCAGCAAAAACGAGTATATGCCTACAGCTGTAGGATGAGTTCACTAAAGAAATTCAGAGTACACCAAAAGCAGAAGATTGGGTGCGTTTGGGGGTGGGGGTTTTTTGTGGTTTGTTTCTTTTTTTAAATTACACAGTGTCACTTCTAAAGTGTCTGATACCCGTTTCCACTGAAAAGGCCTGGGAAATGGCAACCGCAGCCTCGTGGGGCAAACACGACAATGGTGCAGTGCTGTGACCTAACAGAACCACTGAAGGTATTCTTTCTCCTTCAGGAAGAAAGTTGAGGGACAACAGAGGCCAGGCAGAAAGTCAGCCAAGATGTCCTCCAGCAGAGCCAGTGCTCTGCAGGAGCCAGCCCAGTGGCTTGCTGCCTTCACCCCACCCAACATCTCATCTCCCAACCACACCACCTCCAGCTCTACTTCTCCTCCCAGTAAAGCACCAACATGAAGTCTCTGGGGAGCCTGGTTCACTAGTGGGACCGAGGCTTGGCGGTGGCAAGGACAGAAGCAGGGAGTTGATATCCAAGGTCTTTTATCCCTTGCTCAGAGGAGCCCCCAGAGACAGCTTGGGAGCCTGCATAGGATGCACAGAGACCATGGGGGGAGAGTGTTCGGGTTTTACCCAGTCCAAGCCCTGCCACCCTGAGCAGGCTTGGGAACCAGTGTTAGAAGAGATGACAACCCCTGCTGGGACAGGGCAGGTTCTACCATGGATACGGCATTTGCTTTTCATGTTCTAAAACAAGCTACATTATTTTTGTTCACCCTTAATTGTTACACCAGGCCGCAAGCTTTCTTCCTGCCCCTGATGAGGAACGCATCCTATTTAAAGTGGGATTTGCATTCTCAGCCCTCTCAGATCCCCTGGTTACTTAGAGTGGAGCCTACTTCCAAGCCCAGCTTCCCATCGGAGACTGGGAGGAGCAGTGCGACTCATGTCCTTGCACCAAGGTCATGCCTTTGTCCAGCCTGGTAAACATCCCCGGGCTCTGACGAGCTACAGCAAGGGCACGAAACCTCCCCCTGCAGAAGAGCCGAGCCTCATCTCTAGTTAGGCGCATAAGCACACAAGTGACATGCTGTCTGAAGCAGGAGCAGTTTCCCTCAGGACGTGATCGAGAAGTCACCATCTGCACAGTAGTACATGAAAGGCAACTCCAGACACAATGTCTGCCCTCCTCCCAAGTAATGTCTTAAGTGCTACAGACACACTCATCCCATGCCACAGGTAAAAGAACCTCCTCTTCCTCCTCTGCCTGAGGCCTTTTTCACACTTCAGAAATCCTTGCTCTTCCTGCATGCACCTTCTCAGCAGCCCTCCCCAGCACAGAGATTAACAGTCTCAGACAGGCACATGGAGGATGCTCAAGGTGGCCCAGTGGGTCGCTGTCCTTAAAGCCACTTCTGCAGATGGAAGGTTATTTTCATAACCAAGGCAGAAAGAGGTAACCTGTCTTGGGGAACCTAGACTTCTGAACCAACCATGCCACAAGGTCTGCAAAATGCCTTGTGTGAGCCAGGTGCCTGACACTGCCAGTTCATGGCCCCAAGAGATCCCAGAAACCACTGTTAGCATCCCACAGGAGAAGCTATAGCGGCTACAAGGAGCCCACCTCATCTGCCAGGTTGCAGGCTCCTTCCTGGAGCTCTCTGCTCTTGGAGAAAAGAAGTCAGCTTATTTCAGGAGTTATCCTCCCCAA